CGGCTCCCGGCATCGGTTCTGCCGCCGCTCCGACTCCCTGCATCCCTCTCTTCCACCCCATGCAGGAGTTGGGGGGGACACAGAGGGGGGATGCAGCCCATCCTGGGGCACACAGGGACTTTGGAGTCCCCGGTTGCCAGCGCCGGATCTGGGCACGATCCCCCAGACCCTTATCTCCTGCGGGAAAAGCTGCCTGGGAGTGGGTGCTGGTGGGGGACACGGGGCCGCTTCCATCCCTGTGGGGCTGTGGGTGCTGATGGGGAGCACGGGGCCGGGGCTGTGGGTGCTGACCCCGTCCCCGCAGGGCTGCAGACCATCACCAACCAGAGGAAGGGGAACTGCTATGGCGCGGCGGCGAGCTGGCCGGCGGAGCGACGCCGGCGCCTGGGCGTTCATGCAGCACAGGGCCATGCGCATCTTCCTGGCCGAGGGCGAGCGGCAGCTCCGGCCAGCGGACATCCATGGCGGGCGCTGAGCACCCTGGGGTGCTGGGGAATGCTGTGCCGGGGTGCTGGGGGGCACCCCCTGCTTGCACCTCCCCTCTGCCCTTTCCGAGGAGGCGGCTGTGCTCTGGGTGCGGGTTTTATGTTGCGAACACTGGCGAGAATTTTTCTATTTTTCTATTTCCCTAAAGGGCGATAAATAAATCACTGCAGGTCTTCTTTTGCTAAGAAATCCAAGCTGCACGTGATTTCTGGCTTCGCTTCCCCGCTCTGCCATGCTCCTAGGACAGCCCCCTCTGCCCCAGCGTGTACCCAGTGCACGGGCACGAAGACATCACCCCCCCCCCCCAGTGCCCGGCGCATCTCTCCCCATCATGGAGTCGGACGCGGCTGAGAATATAACACGGCTTTACTGTATGAAATGGCACTAACACGGCGCGTGGCTCAGCGGCGGGGTTACGGTGCGCAGTTTGCCTTGGCCTTGGCACAAGCGATGTGGGTACAAGCGGCACAGGCTCCGTGGCAAACAGAGGTTTGAGGAGCCGTGGCCCACAGCCGGGCACCGACAGTCGCCTGGAGCTGGCTGGGGGGTTGCGG